TCCTGGAAAATCCTAACATGTTTGGAGACTAAACAATATACTTCTATTTTTTAAAATTTATTTATACAATTTTACATCATTGTTCATTTTTGACAATGTTTGATTTCTCCTCTCAGGTGTAGTCCCCATAAAATTACCACCACCTAGGCAACTCTGAACCATCACCATAAACTCTTGTGTTCTTCCCTCCAGTTTTGATTCTTCTCCTTCCCCCTCCCTGATGACTATCTACCATTTATAATTTGACTGTTTTGTATTTTTTCCCTGTTTTCCTATGTTCTTCCTATAATTGAAACCATCCAATAGTTTTCTTTTTCCTTCTGACTTATTTCACTGACCATAATCCCTTCCAGTTCTATCCATGTTGCTGCGAATGGCATAAGTTTATCTTTTTTGATTGCTGAATAGTATTCCATTGTGCATATATATGAATGCATAAGTATTTTTTTTTTGATTGCTGAGTAGCATTCCATTGCATATATATATATACCACTTCTTCTTGATCCAGTCATCTGTTTTTGGGCATTTGGGTTTCCATATTTTAGCTATTGTGAATAGTGCTGCAATGAACATAGGAGTGCAAGTGTCTTTTTGAATTAATATTTTTGTGTCCTTTGGGAAGATTCCTAGGATTGAAATTGCTGGGTCATATGGTAGATCCATTTTTAGTAATTTGAGGGTCCTCCACATGACTTTCCATAGTGGTTGGAACAGTTTGCATTCCCACTGGCAATGTAAGAGAGTTCCTTTTTCTCTACATCCTCACCAGCATTTGTTGTTGCTAGTTTGTTATTTTTTTTAATGTGGGTCACTCTTACTGGTGTGAGCACATTTTTTCTGTGCTTGTTGGCCACCTACATTTCCTCTTTGGAGAAGTATCTTTTTAGCACTTCTGCTCATTTTTTTACTGGATTCTTTATTTTATTTTTGTTGAATTGTGTATGTCTTTGATGTCAGCCCCTTATAAGTTTTAAGGAGTATGAATATTTTCTCTCATCTGTGGGTGTCTCTTCATCTTGGTTATTGTCTCTCTTGCTATACAGAAGCTTTTTAGTTTGATGTAGCCTCAGCTGTTTATCTTTTTCTTCATTTTCTTTGTTTCAGGGGATGTCTTTAAAAATGTTTCTCATGGATCAGCAGAATTAACATTATCAAAATGGCCATTCTCCCAAAAGCAATTACAGATTCAATGCAATTACAATAAAAATATCAATGGAATTCTTCAAAGAAATAGATAAAATATTGATGAAATTCATAGGAACCACAAAAAAACCTTTTTTTTCTCATGCATGTCATGAAGTGTTTTGCCTATGTATTCTTTATGTGTTGTATGGTTTCAGGTCTTACATTCAGGTATGAGGTAGTAGTCTAGTTCACTCTTTTGCATGCGATGGTCTAGTTTTCCCAGCACCATTTATTGAAAAGATGGTCCTTATTCCAGTGCATGTTCTTTGCTCCTTTGTCATAGATTAGTTGTTCATATTATGTGTGGCTTTATGTCTGGGTTTTCAATTCAGTTTCATTGGTCTGTGTCTCTGTTTTTGTTCCAGTACTACACAGTTTTAATTATTATGGATTTGTAGAATAGTTTGAAGTCTGGGAGTATAATACCTCCATTCCTCCTTTTTGTTGTCAGGAGTGTTTCTGCTATTCAAAGTTTTTTTGTGTGGTTCCTATGAATTTCATCAATATTTTGTCTATTTCTTTGAAGAATGCCATTTATATTTTTATTGCAATTGCATTGAATCTGTAATTGCTTTCGGTAGAATGGCCATTTTGATAATGTTAATTCTGCTGATCCATGAGCAGGGGATGTCTTTCCATTTCTTTGTATCTTCTGCTATTTCTTTTTATCAACGTTTTCCAGTTTTCTTTGTTTAGGTAACTCCCCTCCATTGTGAGGTTTATTCCCAGGTATTTAATATTTTGGTACAATTGTGAATGGGATGTTTTTCTTGATTTCTTCTTCTTCAGATATGTTGTTTGCATATAGGAAGGCTACTGATTTTTGTGTGTTGATATTGTAAACTGCTACTTTACTGAACTGGTTTATTGCTTTAATTAGTTTTTCTGTGGAGTTTTTATGGCTCTCTCTATATATGTTCATATCATCTGCAAATAATGATACTTTTATTTCTTCTTTCCCTATTTGAATTCCTTATAAATCTTTCTATTGCCTAATTGCTCTAGCTAGGACTTGAAAAGCAGTGGTGAGAGCAGAATCCTTGTCTTGTTCCAGATCTTAAAGGGAAAGTTTTAAGTTTCTCACCATTAAGAATGATATTGGCTGTAGGTTTGTCATATATGGCTTTAGTGTGTTGAGTTGTGTTTCTTCTATTCCAAGAGTTTCACGGGTCTTCATCATAAATGGATGTTGGACATTATCAAATGCTTTCTCGACATCTATCAACATGATCACATGGCTTTTGTTTTTCTTTTTGTTGATGTGGTGTATTAAATTAATTGATTTCTTAAGATGTTGAACCATCCTCGTGTCCCTGGTATTAATCCCACTTGGGCATAATGTATTATTCTTAGATGCTTTGTTGGAATCCATTTGCTAAGATTTTGTTGAGTATTTTTGCATCTATGTTCATTAGGGATTCTGTAGTTTTCCCTTTTTGTGTTGTCTTTGTTTGGTTTTGGTATTAGTATAATGTTGGCTTTGTAAAATGTACTTGGTATTATTCCTTCTTTCTCAATTTTTTGAAGGGTTTTGTAGGGTAGGTGCCAGTTCATCTTTGAACATTTGGTAGAACTCATTAATGAAACCATCTACCTGGGCTTTCTAAACTATATACTTCTTAATAACATGGGTCAAAGAAGAAGTCTCAAGAGAATTTAAAAATATGAGATGCAGCATAGGTAGTACTTAGCAGGAAATTTATTACATTGAATACATATATCAGAAAGAAAAAGCTCTAAAGTTAATTATCTAAGCTCTCACCTTAGGAAAAGATTCAAGGAAGAACAATAGAAACCTAAAGGAGCCAGAAGAAAGGAAATAAAAATTAGAGCAAAAATCAATTATTGAAAAACAGGAAAACAATAGAGAAATTTAATGAAACCAAATGCTGGTTCTAGAAAAAAAATAAAGTAATAGAATTAATAAACTCTACCTAGTTAACAACAACATAAAAGAGAGTAGACACAATTACTGCTATCAGACATGAAATGGGGTCATTCCTCCTGATTCCATGGGCATTAGAAGTATAATAAAGGAATATTATAAACAATGCTATGCCACAAATTTGAAGAAAAATGAACCAATTTCTTGAAAGACACAAGTTTCCAAAACTCAGACAAGGAGAAGTATGTCACCTGAGTATGCCTATATTTATTAAAGAAATGGAAAAGGTAATCAATAAACCTCTAAAACAGAACAACAGACCTACATGGAATTCCACCAACACTTAAGGAACAACTGATACCAAACTGCAGAATTTGTTCCAGAAAATAGAAGCAGAAATGAATTCCTAATTCATCCTATCATGTCCTCACTACCCAGAAAAAGACATTACAACAAAAAAACACAAAGAGAAAACTACAAAAAAGTAATACAAAAACATTAACAAAATATTAGCAAATATAATCTAACAGCATATAAAAAGAATTACATACCACAGCCAAGTGTGTTCATTCCAGGTAAACAAGCCTGTTTCAACACTCAAAAATCAATTCATGTACTTCGTTATATCAACAGACTAAAGAATAATAATATCTTATATTGATATCAATAAAATGCATTTGATATAACTCAACACACATTCATGATTCAAAAAAAAAACTTCAACATAATAAAAAATCTACTATTCCTCAAGAGCACATCGGAAGTCCTAGCCAATGCAGTGAGATGAGATAAAGAAATGAAAAATACAAAGGTTTGGAAGGAAGAAGCAATCTTTTCTTTGTTGAAGACATAATTGTCCATGCATAAAATCACAAATAAATTGACAAAAAAACAAACAAAATTCTGCAACTAAGAAGCAAGTATAGCAGACTGCAGATTACATGTTTAATAATTAAAGTTCATCAATGAACTGCAAATCATCAATGAAAAAACATAATTTGAAATTAATAACACAATGACTTTTGTATTAGCACAAAAAAAGAACAGATTTAGACAATTCTAAAAAAAAATGCACACAAGCTATGTCAGCTAATCTGAAAAAAGAAAATCTGACAAAAGACTGAAGAAGGTTTAAATAAATGGAGAAATAGTCACTGTTTATGAATAGGAAGAATGGATATTTTTAAGACAGCAGTTCTTCCCAAGTTGGGAGTCCTTTCTCAAACACATTCGTTCCTCTTGATGCTACAGGAAATAATGGGATTCTCCATATGATTCCGCATGGAAGGAAACCCTAGTGCTACATAAAATATTGGTAAATGATCACTGTACAAAGAGAGCAGGTGCTATCCAGTTCCTATGGTCCATGACACTAAGATTCCAGGGCATTAGGACTTGAAGTTCCCTGAGTTCCCCCATTCTGCCAAGGCTCCGTCAAACTACCTTGTGCTTGATAACTATGTGGGTGTCTAAAGGGCCTGACTAGTTTAGTATGGCAGGGACCAGAGTCTAAGAGAGAGTACAGGCCCCATCCCAGGCCTCCTGGAGGGGGTCAGTCCCTTGTTCTCTCCACTCCACTGTGAACTCGACTACTTTTTCCCTTTTGGACAGACTATTTTCCATTTTGAAAGAAATCATAGCTCTTCATAGTCCAGTGAGGTCAATTCCTACCCTTTACTGGAGACAACCACACACTCCCACCTCTGCTGCACAGTCCATACAAGTGGAAAATAGCACTGCTTCCTTCTCATTTTTGGGAAATGACCCCAGGATCTGGTCCTGATTCAGCACATTCAGGTTCTTACTTCATTGTCCTTAATCATAAACCTGCCCATGTGTGGATCTCTATAAAAGGCAGGCAAGTCACCAGAGTTGCAGAGAGCCTGAGACAATAACTCCAAGGCTGTAGCTGCCATCATAACCCTCCAGCATGAAGGTCTCCATAACCATCCTGTGCCTGCTACTCACGGCTGCCGACCTCAGCACCCAGGTGCTTACTCACCCTGGTAAGTCTCCTCTCTTCCTAAGGTTTAACATTTTGATCATTGCAGGTACTGACATCCCAGAATGGGTATGTCATACCATTGCATAGTCTACAGGACAATAGAGAAAGTGAAACCAAGAGGGGAAATGAGAAGAAAGCCAGGTCACTTAGCCAGAGGCAGAGGCAGAACTGGATGCCCAGGCCATCAAGACCAGTCAGTCCCCTTGATCGTTCCTGATACCAGCTTTGTCTGGGAAGCACCATCTTGGAATTTATCCTCCCAGTGGATGTTTTTGGGATGACACTACATGGATTAGTCTTGTCACCCAACATTTCTCCATTGCTACTCAACAACAAAAGTCCCTTAGTTTAAATGAGGAAACTGACTTTCAGGCAACACTTTATCCATAAGATATGAACTTGGAGGTGGAAGGTTCTAGATGAACCTCACATTTGTTGTGTTGTCTTTTGCCTTCTCCTCCCCTTGAAAATACTTACTTATGACACATCCTAACTCTTATTCTTCACAAACTGTTTTTTTTTTTTTTCAGGTTCAGTTGGCATTCCAGTCAACTGCTGCTTCACTGTGAGCAACAGAAAGATCCCCACCCAGAGGTTGGAAAGCTACACCAGGATCACCAACAGCCACTGTCCCCTGGAAGCTGTGATGTGAGTGGGTCATGCCTAATGCCTCAGTCAAAAGTTCTATCTGAGTTCTTTCCATGGAAGGACAAGAGGTCAGGATTCACACTCAAATGAGTCTATGAACATGCCACATACTCCAAAGGACCTTTATTACCTTAGAGAAACTGAGTCAGGAGGTGGATCAAGAACTTGATCAGATCACCCAACTTCCTTCAGTCAGGAGCTGGAGGGCTTCCCCCGGCATAGCAAGAGCAGTGTGATGATTCGAGGCCTCTTTTTCCATTCTTCCTCTTCTTCCTGTCCCAGCCCAGGCCCTCACCCAGGAAGCAAGGGTTATACAGGTTTATGGGCTGACAGGTCACACTACTGTGTCAAATGTAAAGATGTTCCATCTAACTGTGTCCTCACTCCCACAGCTTCAAGACCAAGTCACCCAAGTTGGTCTGTGCAGACCCCAAGGAGAAGTGGGTCCAGAATGCCATAAAGATCCTGGACACGAGATCCTGAACCCCGAAGGCTTGAACTTCACAAGGCTTAGTCTCTCTTGGATGAGAGACTAAGATCTACAAGAAAATCTTATTTATTAACCCCCCCGCCCTTTAGCCAATGCAGAGCGATATTATTTAATTATAATATCCAAAAGAGTGACTTTGATAAATAACTTAAAGCTCCATATTTCTTAAATACTATTAAATTTTAAGTTATTGATTGAGTGTTCATTAAGTTATCTGCTAGAAATAGCACTGAATGTAATACAGAAAAGAGAGTGAGGTATTTTCTTCTCTGTGTGCACAAGAAGTTTGTGGCAAGATGTCACTATTCTTCCTACTTGTCTATAGTTTATCAGTTTCTCAGTGGGTTATCAAAGTGAATCGCTTCTGTACTCTTAGAAAATTAGTGCTCTTATTAGTGCAATATGTACTATGGAAGATTGAAATTAATATTATTAGACACTATGGAATTGTTAAATAAAATGTATATTTACATAATTTTGAACTATGTGCTCTTATTTTTCATGGGATAACCACTTGGCTGGGGAGGAGAAAATAGCAGCAGTGGGTGGCAATTGGAGATATGTCAAGGATACATAAGAACCAATTTGAACAGAGTCACACTGACCAAATTTGCAGAAATTTGATCACCCAAATAAATACCAGTGTAAAAAATGCAAAATAATTTATTTCAATCCATTGGGTAAAATCAGAGAGGTAAAACATCTACTGTAAAATAAAATGTTAACAATAAACACAGGGGAAATGGTGGTATTAGAAAATTGCCATTAAGCCGTCACCAGGGAGGATCGGGTTTTTTGTTCTATTCAGGCAATAATAATTTAAGTCACTTCATGGCTCTGTCAAGTTGAGACTTATAATTAACTATATGTATGTACATAGTTATGTACATAGAGACGTGTATATATACACAATATTATTAATTATATGTATATACAAGTTCACATATATGATTATATATAATATAAATTTTCTTCATCTTTTGATGATCTGATTTTGAAGAATGTCATCAAACAATGAAGAATAGGGCCTCCTCTGGTGGCACAGCAGTTGAGCACTGGGCTGCGAAGCTGCCCGCAGTCTCTGCAGTGCCGGTTCGATGCCCGGCCACCAGGGAGTGTCCCACATGGCACACAGACCTCTCCTGCCGCACCTGCTGCTCTCCTCTGCAGGGTATTTTGACAGTCTGCCTGTCCTGTTCCCCACTCTGGCTCTGGTGAATTCACTAACCTCCCGTGCTTCTGACTGTACCCAGTGCTTGTATAAATAAATAAATAAATAAATAAACCTTAAAAAAATGAAGAATAGAAGATCTTTCAAAGAATTGATGCTGTAGCAACCATCCCTATTTTCCTATTGACATCCATCAACCTGTCAATAGGAGAATAGGGATATCTATACAGGGGAAAAAATTCTCTCGATTCACACTATAGACACAAATTGATTTAGGATAGTCTATAGACCTAAACATAAAATCTAAAACTAGAAAACTCTAGAAGAATATCTTTGTAACTTGAGGTGGAAATGACTTTCTAAACAGAGCACACATAACCATAAAAATTGGATTTCATCAACAACGAAAGTCTCTATTCATCAAAAGATACTATTAAGAAAGTAAAAAAGAAAAAGATAAGTCTCTGACCAGGAGAAAACATTTCATATTACATATACACATTTTAATTCAATCTATATAAGGAATTCCTACAAATTAATAAAATTATTCATTTTAAAGTGGGTCCAAAACAAGCCCGGAATAGGCATTTCACAAAGGAAGATATCCGAATAGTCTATAAAAACACAAAAAGGAGCTCAACATCACAAGTACTCAGGGGAATGCAATTGAACACTAAAGGAATACTAAAAAATCCCACCAAAATGGCAAAAATAGAAAAAACTTATAATACCAACTGTTGGTGGGAATGCAGAGCAAACAGGTCTTCAACATTGTAGTGGGAAGTTTGGAAAACTGTTCAGCATTCGCAAATGAAAATAAACACATGCTTATCCTATTTACTTCTAAGCAAATATTTGAGACAAACTAGTCCAGATGTGCACAACAAATTTTGAAAAAGTGTTTACGTAATTTTATCATTATAGCCACAGTTCCCATCAACCTTCAATAGGAGAACAGGGAAGTAAAATGTGGTATATTTGTACAATGGAATGTTACTGAGCAATTAAAAAAAATTACACTGATTTTTTTAAAAAGTTGATTACCCTTTCCAGGCAGCAGCCATGGTGGAGTCGCAGCCAGGGCTCTGCAATACACTATATCATAGCTGGGCACACAACGGGGATACAAGTTGTCTGAGAGCAATGAGGCACAGCAGCTGTGTGGGCACCTCAACAGCACACCACGGTCCTGCAGGAAACCATCCAGGAGGAATGTGGCTTTGCCCTCTCTGAGCGTGGAGCTAGAGTTGCCCAAGGTCTCCAAGGACCAGTAGCCCCTCAAGTTTGTCAAGAAAATGGGGGGGGCCTCCCCTGTGCCGCAGTGGTTGAGTGCTGGGTTGCAAAGCTGCCCGCAGCCTCTGCAGCGCCAGTTCGATTCCCGGCCACTGGGCGAGGGTCTCACATGGCGCGCAGACCTCTCCTGCTGCCCGCTGCTCCCCTCAGCAGTGTACTTCGTCAGTCTGTTCCCTGCTCTGGCTCTGGTGAATTTTCTCACCCTCCCGTGCTTCTGACTGTACCCAGTGCTTGTATAAATGTATAAATAAATAAATAAATCTTTGAAAAAAAAAAAAAAAAAAAAGAAAATGGTGGGGATGCACTGTGGACCAAGAAGAAGAAGAGAGGAGCTGAGCCAGGTCCTGGCTGCCCTGGGGAAGGTGGCAACCAAAAGGGACTGCACCTCCCCCACTCCATAGGCATAAATAAAAGCTTTTTCAGAAAAAAAATATTTAAGCACCAGACTTCAAAGAATGCATACCCCATGAGCTATTTATATGAGTGTCAAGAATAGGCCACCGATGGTGACAGAAGTCAAAGTCATGGTTGCCTTGAGGCGATGGATCAGTGGTGACTGGAAAGGACTCAAGGAATTTTCTGGGATGATGCAAATGTCAATTCCATGTGAGTGATGGCTAGCTTTTGTATTCATAGGCTAAAATGTAGTCACGCCATGCCTATCAATTTTTTTTGCATGTGAATGTAGAATATGACACTAAATTTAAAAACGTTTTAACAGTTTGAACTGCTCATACTGTTGATCCAGCTTCCATGGTCACATAAAGATTTGTCAATTTCTGCATTGTGTGCACAGCATTCCTTGGAATCAAAATGAATAGACTAAATGCCCAATAACTCAATAGGGTCTAGGTAAATGTTGGTGTTTTCTTTTCTTTTTTAACTGGGCCCTTGTCTTGCCTTTCTCCCTCTTTTTTTTCAGTCTAGCTAGTCCCCTCCATGTTACTGTAGGCCTTGAAGGCCATGTCCAGAAGTGTTAAAAGGATCTTAGGCCCTGGATTTAGTCTCTGGAGCCTGCACCTGATGTCAGAGCAAGGCTGGCTAATGAAGAAGACCTCTAAATTGTTTGTACTTTTCAGGGTCTAGATTAGTATACCTTTTTACAGCCTCAGTAAATTTAGCCTGAAATGATGTAGAATTTTTGGACTTTTGAGCATCTTTTTTCACCCCTTTTATAATGGACTGTCTTATTAGGTTTTAAGGAGTCTTATATATTTTAGAATAATCTCATTAGTTTATGTTTATGTTGAAAAGATGTAACAATCCTATGAGAATACTTTTCATGAGGTATCAATATTCCCAAATTGACTCTGTTTTCACAACAAAAAAAGCAATTTTATATATCAAAAGGACTAAAGCCTGGTGCCACACAGGTGCACCACTGACATTTGAGTTAATCAAAATATTCTATGGCAAGTCATTTGAGAACACAAATTTTTTTTTCTCTCTTTTTTTTAATAATAAATTTTATTTTTATATTCCCCATACAATTGCAACCCCCTTATTTTGACCCCAATCCCTCCCCTCCCCTCCCGCCCCCTACCCCCATAGAGTGTCTCTGGTTCATAGTTTTTTGTTGATTTTGATTTTCACTTTCTTATAGTTATTCATTTTCCTGGTCCCTTATTTAAGTTTTCTAGATTCCTGCTATGAGTGAGACCATCCGGTATTTTTCTTTTTCTTTCTGGCCGGAAGGGATCATGCTCAGCGAAATAAGCCAGAAAATTATTTTTAAAGATTTACTTATTTTTATAGAAGAGCTGGGGTACAGGCCAGAGGGCTGGGGCAGGGGTGAGAGGATTCACCAGAGACAGAGTGGGGAACAGAACAGGTGGACTGATGAAATACACTGCTGAGGAGCAGTGAGCTAGACATGAGAGGTCTGTTGTGCCATGTGGGATTCTTGCTGGCCAGGATTGAACCAACGCTGTGGAGGCTGCGGACAGCTTCACAGCACAGCGCTCAATCCACTGCGCCACCAGGGAGCCCACCCCCCAAAATAATAACATTACAAAACACAGCAAAGCAAAAACAGACAATTATAAATCAGAGATACTGCAGGGGAGGAGGAGGGAAAGGGATGAGAGGGAGGGAGGGAGGAGCACAGGGGACTGTGATGGTGCATGGGTGCCTTGGGGAAAGAAACTCTATGGGGACTCAATCTGAGGGGGTGGGGGGAAGCAAATATTGTCTAAAAAATTTAAAAAATGATAAATGTTAAAAAAATAAAAAATAAATAAACTGTTAAAAAAATTTTCTCAGATCTTCAACACTTTGTTTTCTTTTTTCTAAATACCATTTTATTTTAAAAATATCCATTTTACTTTAAATTGTTTTAAGGACCTTTAGAATATCCACTTTTAAGACTTTTTTATTTACTTCATATTTTAAAAAAAATTTAATACTATTTTTTAAATTTTTTACATAACTGCTCATTTTTAAACAATATTTGCTTCCCCCCACCCCCTCAGGTGTAGTCCCCATAGAGTTTCCTTCACCAATGCACCCGTGCACCATCACCTCAGTCCCCTGTGCTCCT